AGTGCCCGAACAGTCTCAAAACCCATCCAAACAAAGCCAAACCAAGGGAGCCTGCTCTCTAATTTAACAGAGCAGGCTCTAAACACCTTAGAGCCGGCTCTCTAGCCTTTGGAGCTGGCTCTATGAAGGGGGGAGCCGGCTCCCAACTTCTTGGAGTCGGCTCTCTCCTCCTTTGAGAGCCCTGCTTGCTTCCTTCTCCGTTTCCAACCATCTGCTTCATCTCCGGTCCTTTCCTGCCCCTCTGTTCTTCCTTAAAACTTGTCCTAACTGTCTAACACATATCCGGTGTCAACCCCCAGTCCTTAGTTTACAACAGTAACAACTAAAACAACAATTTAAAACAACATCAGTTTACATGCTTTAAAACAGACGATGAAGAAACAAAGGTGCAATAAATCTTTCAGACAAAGTTTAGCACATACAGACGATTAAATTGACATATATAAAACATGAAAAGTTCAATTAATATTCAATTAACATCCTAGAGACCACTTATAATTGGAGACAGAAAACCCTAAATCAATTCTAGTCGGCCAAAACCCTTAACGTGATCACGTAACAAACAAATACAAAACCCTAATGTGATCTAACTAACACGGTTATTAATTAAAACAATACTTAAATAATTTAATTAAATAAACCATTAAATTAAATCCCATTCTTTAATACATTAATAATAATACTTTCAATTAAACACATAAATCATCAAAATCAATTAACAAATAAATTCACACAACATCTAATTCATTTAAACATAAAACACGAAACCAATTAAACACCTAGCCACGTAGCAATAAAATAATAAAATAAAATTTCAATTATATCATTTTTAAAACTAGGGGTATTATAAGCTAACGAGTCATCTTAATGGAAACCCAACATAGTGACTGAAGATCTCATTATCTAGGTTCAAAGGGACAACAAAAATTTTGAATGACTCACCAGAAGCACTGGGAAGATATAAATCTTCTACCCATTTCTATGATGAGACAGCGCTACCTACAGCTAGGATTATGATAAGCTATGCTTTTAATGACTCTTATATCTTAAAAATTCAAGTGGGGTATGATAGGATACTCTTAATAAGAAGTCACCTATATGAGTGTGAAGTGAGGCCGCTTTATGAGAACTATAAAGGCTAAGTTTTTTAGAGCACTCATGAATGTCAGGAGTTGTTCATGACCAAAATGAATACAACAATGAGAACCAACTTTGTGAGGAAGGGAACTGTGTGTTTACTATTGGTTTGGTTTACATCAATGGCTGAACAGTTCAAAAAATCATGTTCATTGGTTAGTCAGTAAATTCGATAGTAATACACTAGGGAAGGTTCAAGGCCAAAAGCTACCTATCCCGATGTAGTAACTTTCCGACTATACTCTCTTTAGTGTCTGCATAATCATATTTTGCATTTAAGCAGCTAATTTCCATTCATGTAGGGGTTTGTTATAAATTATGAATGAATATTGTTTGATTAGTCATCAATAGATGTCATTGACTGAACATGTGTGATTACTAGTTGGTTATGGGATGAAAAGATGCAATTTAAAATGAACAGACATAACTTATTGGAGTGGATGTGTTTAGTGGTGAACAGATACCATGCGAACCATTACAACCTATTGGATTGGAAGTGTCTAGTGGTGAACAGACACCATGTGAACCATTGCCACCAATTAAAATGGTTGTGTCCAGTGATGAATAGACGCATATAAATGACTGTGTCTAATAATGAAAAGACACATCCAATCTGAAAAGGCACCTCTATTTCTATAAATACCCTATTGGGCTGCCATTTGCAGTTCGTTCAATTTAATTTCTTTTCTTCCTCTTTCAAGATGAACCCAACCCAAGTAGGTGTGGGTTCAAGCCATGGTCAAGTGGTCTAAGCCACTTAGGCCCAAAATCAATTTCATTGAGCCATATTAATTTTGATCTGAGCCATTTGGTTTGGATTGCACCTAATTCATTTTGGAGTCAGAGAGAATATTACACGAAGAAGGTTCGCCATATCCACGAGTTTGTAGTGCTGCTACTGGTGGATGTAAACCGTTGTATCTTGGGAGATAGACGCCACTGAGTCCGTTAGCACCATAGTGGGGCGAATTTATCTTAAGGACATAATATCTAATATTAGCCTCGATCCAGATTCTTTATTTATTATTATTATTTTATTGTTTTAACTTGCATGTTTAATTAAATACCTAGTTAAATATTTAATTAATTATTTTAGCATATTATAAATATCTTATGGCATATTAGTACAGGGTTAATTACATTTTAAATATCATTTGAAGCATATATTTTAACCAACAGGTGGTGATCTGAGTTGTTTGGGGTAGGAGGTGTTGGTGGCGAACCAACGGGCTAGTGGCCTAGCGGTATCAGACCCTTACTTCTTAAAGGAAGGTCAAGGGGTCAAGCCTTCATGGAAGCATGTGCATGTGAGTACCAACTAAAAAAAAAGAAAAGGGTGTTGGTGGGGATCAGCGTTAGAATTAGGTGGTGTTTGGCCTAAAAATTAGGTGAATTAATGATAAGGTGATGTGCTGATGCAATGCTATTAACTGATGCAATGGTCTTTAAGCTGAGAAATCAAACCCAAAAGTTACAAAAAATGCCGAAATGATTTTTTTTTCGTGCGTGTGATATATATATATATATATATATATATATATATATATTAAGATTTGAAGCAATGAGTAAGGAATTTAAGTTGGTGCTTAGAAAGTGACGAATGTGACTAGTTCAATTGAATTTTTGTTCCAATGGGTGGAGGAAGGAAAAATAAATTTGTAGCATTTTTCGAGAATATATATATATATATATATATATATATATATATATATATATATTGAGAGAAAGAGAGAGAGAGGGGGTAGAAATGTCATTTTATACGCAAAAGGATAATAATGTCATTTTACACGCAAAAAGTGTTATGACAACCACCGAAAAGCAACATTTGGGGTGTGAGTTAAAACCGAACCAAATATTTGTAATGTGAGTGATACTTATTTTCGAAAGGTATTTTCAGGTAAAATTTGTCCAAATTTCAAGGGATGTCATTGGTGTCATTGAAATTAACCCTTTAATTTTTTAAAAATGATGCATGATAACCTTGTTATATATGCCAGGTTGGGCAGTTGGGCTATGTTCTTTTTTGATTTAATTAGTCTCAGTCGAGTTAACAAATTAAGTTCATAAAATTATATCAATAAATTAAAATGAGAAGTAATGAAAAAGAAAAAAAGTTACAATATACATGAGTGCAAAAGTGGGAAAAAAATAGAAAGGAGGGTAAAACCAAAAATGATAGGAAAAATAAAAGAAAATGGGAGAAGTTTGAATGACCAAAAAAACAAATTGTAGAGTTTGATTAAGAGAATCTTGTAAAAAATCTCATATGTAGGTGCATAATAAAAATAAAATAAAAAGAAAGATATATATATATAAAGACGGAGTTACAGGTGATGTTTACTTAACTCATGCACCTTATTTGATCGCGTTACAAATAGGATATTCATCTATAAAAGGTGAGAGTTTGAATTTCAAAATAACAAATGAAAAAATGCAATTAATCATTAAATGGGTTGTGTCTGGAAGCTATGTCTAGCCTTGCAACCTCCTCCTCTCTTCTAACAATTAATTTATAATATTTTTACTTTGAAAAAAAAAAAATATATAAATGTGAACTATCTATTTTCCAATCAGGTAATAACTGTTTTATTATCTAAAAATGCAATTAACGAAGTGCTCTCACTGTGACGTGGACTTCGGAGGTTACTCTGTTGTTTGGGTTCAAAGATTAAGACACCAAATCATTTTTCAAAAATTAGATATCAGTTTGTACGTTTTTTAAGGGCAAAGGTATGATTTTAATTTTTTTTATTTTTTTAATTTTTTTTATTTTTAACTTGATAAGCCACGTTACCCACTTTCAAGCTCAAATTTGATACTTGATTAACTAATTTAATAAAATTTAATTTGTAATATATCAATATATTCCGATGGGACTATTTTTGTAATCTAAAATTTGAATTCAATTAATCTATGTTAATGGTCTAGAATTAATTAATAAATTTTCAGCTTACTTATTGAATTTTCATGCAGTTTATCAAGAATTGTACCACCAATATTCAGACGACGGTTATTTACATTATTAGTACCACACACATAAACACAGCCACTCCACACACTAAAGTAAATTTTTTTATTCTTTTATTTTCTTTTCCCAGTGAAATGCATCACAAATATGTACTACATGTTTTGTAAAAATTACAATGAGGTGCATTTAACTGTGGTTTTTAAAGCTCTGTTTTTTACCTTGAACATACACACAGAATTGTACGAAGAGGACTATACGGACAGAATTTTAAAATTCATTCATAATAAGTCACGAGTTTTGGTCATTGTTTTTTTTTTTTTTAACTAAATTTGACTATTTTACCTAATAGAGTATATATATTTTTAATATTAATGACATTATTACTAAGTGGTAAAATTCATTCATAATAAGTCACGAGTTTCGGTCTCTCTCTCTTTTTTATTGTAACTAAATTTGACTATTTTACCTAATATTTTTTAGAGTATATATTTTTTTAATGTCAATGACCTATGTACTATTTTTTGTGAGTAAATATTTCAATCTATCCCCAAAGTTATTATTTCTAAGTGGTCTGTTTCTCAAAAAAGTTTGAGATTAAATAGGTCATACTTTTTCACATTCTAAAATAGAAGGGCAAGATCTCAATTCAGAAGGAAAAAAAAAAAATTAGTGTGTGAATTTATAAATTTTTTAAAAATAAAAAATAAATAAACAATAGCAATAATGTAAAAACGAGTTGGGGACGAGAAACATGGTATCAACCGAATTTGCTGTACACGGAGTACTACGTATTATTTTTTACTGTAGTTTTTTTACTTTATTACAGTATTATCTGTCGTCCCTATCTTTAGTGTACATTAATGGGTGAAAGTGGATGGGTGGATCGATTATTGAGCTCGCTTTATTATTATTCGAGAATCCAACTCCGTCACTTTTCACCACTCAAGCAGTACAATTTTCAGTTCCCTTTATTAGTTTTAGTTTCAGATTGTTGTGTTACGAGATGGTCTGCTTGGTTACCTGAGCTCCGTCTTTACCCTCTTGAGTCCTCTACATCCACACCCATCTCAAATCAACAACTCGAATGATCTCAAATACCTTTTTCTTTCTTTAATATTATCCAGGACCAGAACATGTTAAAGATTGTGGACTGTTTTAAGCTGTAAAACTGAATCCACCTCACTAACCAAACCCTTATTCTCAATCTAACTAGTCTTTTCCTCTTCTGCTCTATCCTTCCATCTTCTTCTTATATGTGTTGCTTATTTCTTCATTCCTGGTTTGATGTGGCTTTCTAGTGTAAAATCCCTTTTCTTTGTTCCCCAAACTGTTTTGGGTTTGTACTTTGTACTTGTTTTCAGATCGGTTTTTATTTTTATTTGAATCACCTATGCGTTAGATTTTTTTTGTTCTGTGTCTGTTTTTGCTTTCTATTTGGCCATAATATCAGAACACTTGTAGTTGCAAACCCTTTTTTATTTAATAAAAGCTGCCTATAGATTTACAAACAATGTTGTATTTTTAAGTCCCTAGTTGATTTTGGTTTGCATATAGGTTGGTTAGGTAGCAGATTGATTAAATATGATGGGGTACTCTTTTTCAGTCTTTCTTTTGGTACTATTAGCTTCACTATCTCCATTAGTATATTCAGTGAGTGGGATTGGTGCTAACTGGGGCACACAAGCAAGCCACCGTTTGCCTCCAGAAACAGTGGTGGGTATGCTGAGGGACAATGGGATCCAGAAGGTTAAACTTTTCGACGCCGACTACGATGCGTTGAGAGCTCTGAGTAGGTCTGGGATTGAGGTGATGGTTGGTATCCCAAATGATATGCTTGCAACTCTTGCAAGCAGCATGAAGGCTGCTGAGAAATGGGTGTCCAAAAATGTCTCTGCTCATATCACCGCCAATAATGTCAACATCAGGTTAGCCTCTTCTAGTTCCCCTTCTTCTACTACTTCTATTCTGTCACATCAATACCATTTGAATTGATTGGAAAATTAATGTGATGATTTTTGAACACTTAGATTACATGTGGTTATGTTTATTTAAGAGGTGGTTGTGGTTTTATGATAATTGATGTCCAGAAGGTGTGGGTCTAGCTAGCCAGTAGGATGAGGTTGTGGTCCTTGATTGCTACTTCTGCTTGTTTTTTCATAATTAAATTGTTATTTGCAATGTTATGTTATGGGCAATAACTTTACTTCTAGGACTTTTAATTTTTATTTTATTTTTTTCTGGGTAAGTTGCGAGAGATAATATTATTGTCTATTTAAAGAATTTGCACTCTTGAGAATCTCTCTCATTGATCCTCACACAATATTTTCTTTTTTTAGGTAAGTAATTTAAATTTGTCTCTCGAGCAGCGTTGGATAACTTATCACAAGAACACATCCCTAAAATGTCCTTTGCTGTAAGCCAATTAGCTGAAAGTTCACCACCCCAGTGCTTTCTTTGTACATTTGAACAAATCCCAAGATCAAACCTATCCTGAGCTTGCTTATGTCATAAATCAACTGTCTAATTTTTTAAGTAGTGTCTTCGAATATGTTCAAAAGGCTGTTAGCATTTTTGTGAATCTGAAGCAAATTTTATGTGACTTCACTTTTCGCAGCTGCCAGCTCCTTAGTCCTTACCAAATTTGATAGCCTCCAAACATGGCATATAATAGAGCTCAAATCAATTGCACAACCAAACACAGAAAAATTATGCTTCTCGTGACTTTTAATGACATCCACTGATCCCTCTATTTCTGCCGTAAACCTATCTGCACACATCATCCAAATATCTGTGGGAATGGGAAGCCATCTGCATCAAACCTCAGTAGTTGAAGAAAACTGCACAAATATATTAAATTCATTAAAATACATTTGGTTGGAAACTGAATCTTCACTTTTCTTCATGCTGCAAATCTGAATATAACATCATCGTAGTTCTGTCTACACTCACCCTAGTCAAGAAAGCTTTTCTGAATATCTTCAATTTTATTCCATTTAAAGATGATATCATGATAGACTACCAATTGCACCAAAATCTTATACTGTTAAGGAATGGATCCAACAACATTCCTTTTCTTACACTATTGTCACAAAACTATCTACTTTTGTTACATTATTGCTGCTAACTATGTCGGGGTTTGAGGATTAAATAAATCCGATGCTTAGACATGAACTCACACTTGACATATGTATCCGAGTCCAAGTGACACGATTAGCACTAAAGTTGGAATCTTTCTTTATATCAGTTGTACAAATTGGCATCATAGATGGGTAGCCTTATAAGGGCGGGCGGTGGCGCAACAGTAAGGTTGCTCCATTGTGACTTGGAGTTGGGTTCGAAACAAGAAACGACTTCTCTGCATGTGGAGGTAAAACTACATACATATAATCCTCCCCAAACCCCCTAATGGTGGGAGTCTCATGCATAGGGCTCGCCCTTTTTGTGAGGTTACGCGGTGCGGAAGCTATTAGTTGATTTAATTGTGATTAACTCCTTTAATGACCTAGATGAGATTATTAGGTCAACTTACCCAATTTTTGTGATTGAATAAATTACCTAAGCAATATGATCAATTAAACTTCCACAATCATAAAGATAAATACTGAAAAGTAAAGCAAGTAGAGTTAGAGAGATTGCACCAAGATTTTTAGCAAAGAAACCCAAATAGGTAGAATAGACCAATTGTTGTGGGAAAAACCTCGTGGACTCTACAGTCCAAAGTAAACCGATCCACTATATTTGAAACAAAGTACAATGGACTTTGACTAAAGCTCACATCCTATCGTTCTACCAAACACCAACCGCTGACAATCCTGTGGCTTTGCGACGTCCCGTCCAACAGCTCTTGACCTTAGGCTTATACTTGATCTATGTAGAAGGATTGTTGGTAGATCAAATAACACTCCTCGAATGCTTTGACCCTGTCTAAGTGTGATCGCTTCACCCAATTTCTTCAAGATCTGAATTTGATGTAGAAGAAATAAATCTGCTCTTTCGGAATCTCTGAATCTTCAATTAAGCTCCAATTCCGATGAGATAAAGAACAACACTACTAAATCACTTATGAATATATGTGTGTGCTCTCAAAAATAAAATAAGAAAAATCAGATTTGATTTTCTGAACAATATTTCTCAAAAGGTTTTCTCAAAATAATGAATTGATATTCCTCAAAGTCATACCTCAATGTTGAATGACAGAGGCATTATATAGAAGTTTGGAAGACCTAAGAATACTTGTAAAGCAAGTAAAATTCGTGCATAGGATTTTAGAAGGAAGTCTAGACCAAAAGGATTCAAAACAGATCAGGAAACTGAAGTTACCAAACTTGATCAGAAGCCTTGAACCGGTTCAAGAAAGTGGAACCGGTTCAAGATGGTCGATGCTCATATGAAGAATCCTTTTGATTCTTGAACCGGTTCAGGATGGCCAGTCTTGAATTTTTCACAGAGCCTCAGATGTTGAACCTGTTCGAATAATCTTGAATCAGTTCAAGTTGGCCAGAATGTAAACTTACTAAAAACTTATGTCTTCAAACTTCCTAAGTGTTGTCACACACTCACATACCTTTCTAAAGCATTGTTTTCATCATCCCGGAGTGTATTAAAGTATGAACAGTTGAACTTCTTCAAATCCGCATCCGATCTTCAATTTTGAATTTTTGAACCGAAAAATTACAATTCGATCGGACTTGTTTTGACAACGAAATTAGCCAATTACAAAATATATATTTTTCACAATCTCCCCAAAATATATATATCAGCCTTATAATTCCCTCTGGATAGATGCAAAACAAACTTTTTAGGCTACTAGCTTTCTCACAAACCTCAAGTAATTTCCTTCAATCCCATGATTCCCAGCTACAGAAATATGAAGTCCTGAGACTCCAGCTACTTTTAATCTTTAATTTGATATCATTAGCCCATCTGATCCACAGAGAAGGGGACTTTTTCACCAAGGTTCAATTTCTCATCCACGTCAATCTTTCAGTCCTCCAAAGTTCCCTTTTGGTTCTGTACATTATTCTAGGCAACTAACATGTAACTTTGTTGTTACTCGGGCTACGGTTGTTTATCAAAGATGAAATAAAGTATAAATTTCTTGAAACCAGTTTGAACTTTTAGTTACTTGTTATTCTTGTGGGACTGATATTTCTTCTAGTTCAACTTATTGCATTAATGGAGTCCGTCCAAGCAAAGTCCGTATGTTGTACTAGTCTGTGTTGGGATTTTGCCCTCCCATACAAATTTTCATTCAACTTGAGATCTGATATGGTAATAGTTTTGTGTGTCACTTGATACAGTTTAGTTACATGGCGTTGCACATTTCATAAAGTACAATGACGGTCATCAACTTCAAATGTAGAAAAGGCATTTTTGTGGCGTTTGAATTCTTATTTTCTCATTGTATCACTTCGGAGGTTCTCAGTTTTACTGATATCTTCTGGCAAAGTTTTAGTTTGCAGTTCTGCTAAATTCGTTCTGTCATGCAATAGGAATCATTATGTTAAGAACAAAGTATGAAACTACAGCTTGTAAATCTGAAAGTCTGAATGGACTCAAGGAAATCTTGATATCTTAGAATTTGAAACTTATATTTTCACGTCTACAGACATTAAGTCTCTGTTTGGTTTGTGGATTTTGTGAGAGAAAGGAATCATGCAAAATAAAATTTTCCCTTGTGTGGTTACCACCAAAAATTGGGGGAAAAAGAAAATATCTATTTAATTTTTTAAACCCCAAGGGGTTGGCTCAAGTGGGTAACAACTTGGTCTTGGACCTCCTGGTGCTTCAGGAAGCTGGTCTAAGGTTCGACAAAAATTTTAATGTCATTTTCCTTTTCCATTTTTTGATTCCCTATATTTTTTAAAATCTTTTAATTTTATTTGAGTAGGATATAAATGAAGGAAATCATTTTCCTTTTCCTATCTCCTTCCTTTTCCTTTCCGCCACTAATTTGTGGACCAAATAGAGCATAAAGAGAAAATACCACAGGATGTTTCTGTATTTGAAAGTTCGATTGCTTGAGATAGAATTACTTATTCTTCCATAGGATCCTTGTTTTATTTCTGGAAATTATTATTACTGCTTTTTTGGGAAGCGCAAATCACGAAAATTCTATTAAGTAGCAACTACATAGAAATCAGATTGTGTTTAAAAAGCAGTTTAGTTGCAGTAACCAAATAGGCAAAATTTGCAGATTCCTTGAATGGTTTCTGCTGCAATCAACTATGCAAATGTTAAATAGATGCAAATTTTTTTGTCAACATCAGCTCACCTTAAGCACGATGAAGCTGCTGTCCTAATTTTTTCCCCAAAGCCGCTGTATTAACATCGATTCACCTGCTTCAGATTGTGATCTAGTGTGTCGATGTTGTGACGTCACAATCCATGAGATGACAGACGTATCATGTGGAAAATGGTGCATTCCCATTATTAGGATGCAGCAGATCTGTCAAATTACTCTAGGAATGCCTGCAAAATTCTTGAGATTCCCAGTAGACAGGAGTAAGTTGGGGAAGAAAATACATAGAAGAACAAAAGGTCTCAGCAAGACAGTCTAAAGTCCAATGTCCAATGTCCAGATACTACGAATGCATTAAAGCCTAATTGGCTGCAGTACATTTACATATTGAGCCCAAACAATTACCAATTTACCAATTGAAGTGCTAATGGAAAGTAGTTTGGTTTAGAACAGAGTTCCAAAATTTTCACTATGTGACCGGTGTTGTTAAATCTGTTTTCTGGTTTATAATATCGTGCAGCAGTATTGTGGTGGCCAACACTAGGATATGGCAATTGTAGTTTGCTGAAAAGGTACACTTCCAACGTTATGTTGCAGTTAGAGGACTTGCTTAAGCTACCTAATTGCTCTAAAATTAATTCGAATAATCTATGGAATTACACAAAAGGAGAATTAAAAGACTCACTGAAGAAGAAAGATGATTACTAACAATTTGCAGAAAAAAAATGTAAATAGAGGTAGAAAAGATCATTATCCATTGTGTGCCGTGAGAGGTGGACTGGACAACCTAGTGTTTGGCAATTTTAAGATTATAAAACTCCTTTGATTATATAAATCAAGTCACTAACTAATCCTAGTGTCATAAAAATGCGTTCAACAAAAATACAACTCATAGAAGCTTAAAGATGATAAGATATCACATAGCACCTTGTACCAAACAAATCTCCTGAATAATGGGTTTTTGCTTCAGTTTAATATACTTGATTGACATGTAAATGATCTAGTAGTCTCTTCCCTCCTCATACTTTTGGCATCTAACTACTATTATTACTAGAAATGCAATACAATTTCAAAATTTTTTTTGTTTGAAATTTACATGAAAATAGTGAACCAATTTTTGTAAGGCTTTGTTGAGTTGTGAGGATCTAAATTTATGGCTAAGTTCACTTTTATCATATTATCATCCAGTAATTTAACTATCAATTTTGTTTCCAATCCAATCCCCCCTCCCCCCAATAACATAAAAATTGTATTTTCATGTTTTTCAGAAAAAAAATAAAGGGATTAAAATGTTTGTATACAATGACGGTTAATTTCCAACTTTTAGTTCATATGAAGTGTATTAAATTGATTTTTCATGGTTTTATTCTTCATTTATGCATAAATAACTATCTTATGTATAATGTCTGTATAATCTTTTGGATGCACAAAGAAAAAAGAAGAAAGCCATCAACCGGTATCAGTGCCTTCTTTCCTATTCCAACTTCCAACTAATTGTTTTATGGCCTTGCTAAGATAGGATGGTTTCAATAATTCCCTTTCAGTGGCCTGTCTAGTAGTTCCAGAATGTGTGGCTTAAACTTATTTCATTTTATCATTCTTCATTTATGCATAAATAACTATCGTATATATATTAGTATATGTAAATATGACCTTTTGGATGCCCAAAAGAAAGAAAATAAGGCAGTGAACAGTCTTATTGCATTCTTTCCTGTTCCAACCGATTGTGTTATGGCTTTGCTAAGATAGGATTGTTGCAATAATTTCATTTTAGTGCCCTGTCCAGTAGTCTGATGCGTGTGGCTTGAAACTTACTTCATTGTTCTGATTTTGTGTTATATAGAAGCTTAGCAAATACATCATGCATATGTATAAGAATTGGCATTCTCGAGTCTTGTGAATGTATAGCATTATGTTAGACTTTGTCTCATGCAACCAAGTTTTTGTTTTTTGTGATTTTACAGATATGTTGCAGTTGGAAATGAACCTTTCTTGGAAACATACAACGGAAGCTTTCTCAAGACAACGTTCCCTGCTCTCCAAAATATCCAATCTGCTCTGATAAAAGCTGGTCTCAGCAATCAAGTGAAAGTCACTGTCCCACTTAATGCTGATGTCTACCTGAGCTCGAGTGGTGTTCCATCTGGCGGCGATTTCCGAGCCGACATCCATGACCTCATGCTTGCCATAGTCAAGTACTTGAGCGATAATGGTGGCCCCTTTACCGTCAACATCTACCCCTTCATAAGCCTCTATATAGATTCCGACTTCCCGGTTGAGTATGCATTCTTTGATGGCAATGCAACTCCTGTAAATGATGGTGGGACATCCTATTACAACATGTTTGATGCAAATCATGATACCCTTGTGTGGGCCTTACAGAGAAATGGGTTTGGAAACTTACCCATTATAATTGGAGAAATTGGTTGGCCGACAGATGGAGATCAAAATGCTAACATGGTCTATGCCCAGCGGTTCAACCAAGGGTTCATGTCCCATATATCAGGTGGGAAAGGAACCCCAATGAGACCTGGGCCAGTTGATGCCTACTTGTTTAGTTTGATTGATGAGGATGCTAAGAGTATTCAACCAGGAAATTTTGAACGCCATTGGGGGGTATTTACTTTTGATGGGTCAGCTAAATACCAGCTTAACCTTGGAACCACAAATTCGGGAGCTTTGGTCCCAGCGAAGGCTGTGAGCCGTCTAGAGCATAAGTGGTGTGTGATGAAGCCATCTGCAAAGCTTGATGATCCAGGAATTGCACCAAGTGTGAGCTATGCTTGTGGACTTGCTGACTGCACAAGCCTTGGGTATCAGACATCTTGTGGAAGTTTGGATGCTCGGGGGAACATCTCATATGCATTTAATAGTTACTACCAGAAAAATAACCAGCTTGACAAGGCTTGCAAGTTCAACCTTTCAATGACCACCAAAACAGACCCATCAGTTGGGAGTTGCAAGTTCCCAATCATGATCCAGCCATATTATGGGGGTGCTGAAAATTTTGGGTCTATTCGACAGGCATGGATCTTGGAGGTAAGCCTGATTCTCTTTTTGTGGAAAATTCTCTGAGTTCTAGTTTTATCTTCATTAGCCTTATTTTTGTTTTCGGAAAAGTTGTAGAATCTGAAAATAGCTGGTGTTGATTGCTTCCAATTTTCTCTGTATGGTAGATGGGGCTTGTGAATGAACATTTGATTAAGCAAAGTTGAATTGGTTTCTGGTTGATGGTTAATAATTTTGTACCCTATGTTTTATTGTCTGTTCCCAGAAAATGAATTGGTTTTCAGTTGATGGTAAAATTGAAACCATCTGTTGACGTTTTCTCACAGCTGCTGCTTTGACACACAGATCGAGACAGTTACTTGTCATATGTTTCAAAAATACTATAGGTTACCTAACACATCCATTGAACACCATATTCCAAATAATTACAAAGAAACATTTATTTTATGTTTTTATCTTTAAAATTTTCAATCTTTAACCCTCTACGTAGAAACCTCAATCCATGGATTCCTCTTAGGCCTCCCAACACTCCTAAGAGCCCTCCAAACAGCACTGTTACACTTGAAACCTGAACCAAAAGCAATTTGCCAAACTCTGTCACCTCTGTTCAGCCTTGTGTTCGCCTCCAAGTAAGCCAATTCATACCAAACACTGCTACTCGAAGTGTTCCCAAATCGCTCTAGAGTTTTCCTTGACGCTTCCATGTACTCCTCGGTAAGCTCTAAGTTCTTCTGTATCTCATCAAGCACTGTCCTGCTCGTTGCCTGTATGCAAATGTGCTCGAAGGCTAGCTTATGGTTGGGAATGTAAGGCTTGGACTTGTTCTTGAAGAGCAAAGAGGTGAAGAAATGGACTTGTTCTGGAATGGGGAGAACGAGCAGGCCAAGGGTGGTTATGTTGGCCTTGAGAGCTTGGCCTCCCACCTCAATCACATCTTTGTTCACTGAGATGCCTTGTTTTCCCTCAGCATCTTCTTTGAGATGTATGCTTTTGAAGCTTCTGTTGTCCATCCCTTTGTGAACGCGAACCAGCTGCAACAATCAGGAAGTTCGTTCTCAATTTAGAATCTCTCTCTGTGTGTGTGTCAAGTTGGAAACATAGCAAATTTTGTTGGAAGATGAAATTTACAATACAGCTGGCTCACTTGAGTGTTTTTGGCTTCCAAAAATCATCGATGCCCTCGTTTTTACTCTCTCTCTCTCTCTCTCACACACACACACACACGCACACAAATCTAAGCTTATTTAGTAGCATTGTGCATTTGTGCTTTACATGTGATATAACAGTGACATAAATACATTCATACGTAATGTACACAATAAGAGAAAAAAAAAAAGGTACCTGTTTGAGTTCAAACTTTGCGCCCCACCAGTCCAGGTGGTGATTTGAGAGCAACACCGCTGCTGCCCCCATCCGAAGGAAGCAATTAGGAAGGAGCATGTCAATATCCTTTCCACCATACCATGCAAAGTTCACAACTTCTGTGCTCACTACCAGTGCATATGAAGCCGGATGTGCATTTAGAAGGTCTCTTGCTAAATCAATGGCTATGAGACCGGCGGCACAGCCCATGCCACCGAGGTTGAAGCTATGAATCTTGTGGCTGAGCTTGTAATGGTTTATCACCATTGCTGAGAGTGATGGAGTGGTATTCAGAACACCACAGTTCACAATCAGGATTTTGATGTCTTTTGCTTGGATTCTGGTGGCGGCAAGGAGGTCATCGACTGCTCCAAACATCACCATTGCCGCCTCTTCTCGGCCATCTTTTAGGGTTTTCTTGTACGCAGGATTGAATACTGTTCTTGGCAAGTAGGTCTCGTCTCCCATGCCGGAATTCTTGATGACGCTCTGATGAAATTCAATCGTTGCATCATCATATTTACCTGATTTTCTCGCCAACTCAATAAATTTTTCCTTTGAGATCTGTTCATTGGCAAAAGCAGGAAGATAAAATGTTATATGTGCATGCATTAACATGGATGTTCAACAAAAGAAGTGAAAAAAATGGACTAGTACTTTCTTCATACGCTAATATGAACTGAAAAATAACAGTATTAATGATAAAAACAATAACAACATTAGGCTCCTCACGTAAAATATTTTTTTTGGAAAATATATATATATATATATATATATATATATTTGGGGTAAAATATTTTTTAAAAGATTGAGGTCCAGTTCATCGGGTTGGGCATGTAAAATAATTTACCTAAAATTGATGAATAAATTATTTTTGTTAAATTTTAATATATTTTTTTCTTTATAAATATTTTACGACAACCAAACACTAGAAAATAAACAAAGCCTAATTGTATAATGAAATTGATAGTTTTGTTTGAGCGCCAGTAGCATAATATAACCTTATATACAAGCAATAAAAAATCATACCACCCATGAATGGGAACTAATTAAATTTCAAATTGGTTCTTCTTTAATAATTGTTGATTAATGTTAATCATTCTCCAAATATAAGGATTTTGAATAAAAGAGGAAATAAAATGAAAAGAATTGAATTATGTCATTTTTTTTCAAATTCTTTATGCAATTGCTTCACAAAGGAAGAAAATGAAACAAGTTAAAATACACACAATACATAGATATCAACACACACATATCTAAATGGAATGATGTATTTTTTATTTTTTAACTTTTAGGGGGAGAGAGTTACCTTAAATTCACTTGGAGGCCGATAACAAGCAAAATCAACCAAATAAATAGGCCGAGGCATTAAATCAAGATAAATATATAGAATTAAACCCAACAATCCCACAAGGAAAAGTGCATCGGTAAGGTCACATTTCAAGCAAAACCTTTCCCATGTCAGCTTCCCTATTTCAGCACAAAATATCACTAACAGAACCGGTGCAATAACAAAATAAATGCCATGGCTTATAAGATAGCCATAACCAAGCTTCACATATTTCGGGTTAACCGAATTAAGGAAGTCCGGCAAGCGACGCCGGACTCTCACAGAGAAACTCCGGGACCCGGCATAAGGACACGAGTCCCTGACGCCCCGGCTAACGATCACCGGTGAGAGGAGCTCCCTCTTACTTGCCATGAAAGCTGGTTACAGAAGATCCAAGACAACTTAAGTGGGAATGAGAAAAAAAAAAAAAATTTATTCAAGCAATGAAATGCATTAGTGTGCACGTAAAAGAAATTAATGCATGGTTTAAGCATGAGGACTTGGATGTAATGTAATGAAGCAGATGGGATACTTTATCATGAAAAAATAATAAATAAATTAGGTTACGTTAGAGGTTAGCATATGTAATCAGAGGGTGATAACAGAAAAAAGGGTTTTTGTGCATGAAGCGTATTAGCAACGGCTTTGTAGCAGTCTAATTGTGCGTGTGGAGAGAGAGAGAGAGAGAGATTCATTACATATCACATGCTCATTACCTTTGTGACCCGGGTTATTTGTGCATAATAGTGTTAAAAAGAGAAATTGTTGGAAAGTGAAAAATCAATGGGCATAAGAGATAAATGACATCACGTGAACTTTGCATAAAAATATCATCATCCATTTATTATTATTATTATTATTATTTGCAGTCTAAACTTGCATAACATTGCTTAATATTTGTGCATTTGTGAGTGGGAGATATTTTAACATCAATAATTTATATTTGTGATCCGATTTAAGTCTAAAATTATAAAAAAGTCATAGACACACAAGGAGCAACCCAACCAGCAATAATTCAAGCAATACGACAGCATTAGTCAATTTATACAAGGGATTGTGTGTCCACTTTTCAGCATTAGTCAATTTATACAAGGGTTTGTGTGTCCACTTTTCATCGGATGAAAGACAAAAGAAAAATGTTTTCCCGGACACGGCTATTTTTGAGTGCCTGCCACTAACAATTGATCTTGATTTTGTATTACCTTACCGCAATGCAGCTTGGAGAGATTAAGCCCTAATGAGTAACAAGGCTGTAATGCATCCGGTGTTAAAATCACATATCCAGTCGGACTAGATAAACCCCATTTCATCACATCAGAAAATGTGACATGATTTGTACATTGAACACAATTCAATTGGTGTCACCTGCTTGACAAAAATGACCCTCACTCAATGCTTTTGACCTCTCAATGAGAAGGTAATAGAAGGAAAAGAGTTGATATTATTCAGCACAAAGTACCTGCTCGATCTGCCTCACAAAGGTGTTACAAGAAGATAACAGTTGTCTCTCCACTGGTATTAATTGCCAGACTGCAAGACCTCAGCAAAACATTAGCAGAGGTGTATAAGCTGCATACCCATCACACTTGTGTTTCTCCCACAGAAAAATACGCATGACACCACATTTTACAAAGAAAGAAAGCTTAGAACATTGAAGATGAGGACAATAGCCACATGCTGATTGCTGTTATGATGGAATCCTCTTAATTACACAACAATGTACTTGAAAAAGTTTATCCAGAACTTGGCCAGAAAATTCACTACAGAACTGGAGAAATTACTTCCCCTTTTTAATTGGTAATATGATCAGCGAAAGGTTGCCTCACTGGACGCAAACGTCACAGGATGCAAACCGCCAAAAAACCAACACAAACGGCACTTGAAGCTCTCCAGGCCAAACAGATGTTCTAACATCACTACTACAGTTTCACCTGGCAAAAGAAGAAATATAATATTAACTTACACATCCAGTGTTATGTGACAGAAATAAAAGGTTTCTGCTCGCTCAGTATTGGATCATATTAGATAAATCTTTCCGGCAACTCTAGCACTCACTGCAACAGACATGTCTCTCACATTGAATTTTGTGATTGCAAGAAGTGTCAAATACAAGATACATATAAATATCAACATATATAGACAAACACATACCAACAATATTAAATGCAATTGTTTCAGGTGATGGTATGAGAAGTATCATGCAGTTATGAAGATATATGATGAATGCATGAATTCTACAAGTACCATTGAATAGACTTCATACAACAAGTCCCTTGCTTCAAATATGGAACAATCACAAATATTGAATTGTTGATTACAACTAAACTGGCATAAACTCAATTTGTAATCTATTTTTTTTTTTGAATAATTATGATAAAAAAAACCCTCCATTTGTTAGATATAACAAATGCATATATCCCGAGTAATCTGAGCCTTTAGTTATTCAACCAATATAAATTCTTTTTTCATTTTTTTATAAGTAAAATGTAATAGAAAGCGTTCAAAAGGGGAACGCGTCCCAAGCTGTACACAAAAGAAAGTGGAACCTATAAACTCAAGGAGCCCAAAAAGTCCACAATATCCTCAAGAGAAGAAAAATCTCTCCCCCATCTCCAACAAAAAAGAGTACAAATAATAGAGAATTTCAGCGCCTCAATGGAGGACTCCTTTCCATCAAAAGATGATCTATTTCGCTCTTTCCAAAGGCTCCACCAAACGCAAAATAAATAAATAAAACATAAATAAATAAATAAAACATTATTAGTTAAATCAGTCAGCTCACGCACGCGCTTCTCCCCGCCTCTAAGGGGAGGATTAGCATGTTCTTTTTTGTCTTTCTCTCAAACACGTTCCATACTGATTTAAAGTAGGGATAATTTCTGTCATTTAAAATAAAAGTCATCATAGAATGCTAACATCCCCTATTAACACGGTAACAATAGCAAGATGTCCAATTGATCATTATTATTTTAAAGTCATCAGTGGAGACTATTAGGCTCTGGATCAACTGCAGGAACAAAATGGTAAGTTTGGAAATTGACCACATATTATAAATTTAGCAGGTTAAATCAATTAAATCCATAAGATACGTGAACTTAAGTAATGTTAGGGTACGCATTGAGTTCTAGACAGACCTTAGGAGGATGAAGCTGCTGCTGCTGCTGCTGCAGCAGCAGCAGCTTTTCTGCTTGATTTGGTATCAGTTCCTGGTGGTGGTACATAAATCCTTGCTTTTTTCAAAATTTCAGCAACAGTCCAACGCTTATGCTTGCTTAATGGCCTGGAAGGATCCAATCTAACCTGCAAATACAGTTTCATAAATTATTTTTATTTAGCAATAGAGTACAGTACTTGATTGTAAATCACACGATACACTTGTTAAAAAAAAATATTTCAGTTGGGAATCATGACACGAGAAAATAAAATATCGAAAAAGAATGTGTCTGTTTCTGATTTTACTTAATGCTCTTCTTGGTGCATTTCCATCAACTTATCAAGGTTAAATAAATTAGTGCAGTGTATGGTTTACTCCAAAACATAACCAGTAACGAAAGCAAAACACATATAATCAGTAATGAAAGCAAAACACATAGTTTTACTATCTTATTTCCATTTAAAAGAGAGAAATTATTCAATGGAGAAAACAAATGAGGAACCAGAACAAATAATGCAGTTGGGTTAAGGTTCACTGTACCAGATGATCATCAAAAGTCATAATAATAAAGAAAAGGAAACAGAAAACTTAAAAGAACATGCCACCACACTTGATGAATACACAAAGAACTAAATAGATTAACATGGGCTTATCAAATAAGTGTCACATGACAAAACTTATTCCCAATGCATTGCCCTCGGGAAAAATACCAAAAACTGTCAGAAGAAATCATTGAGTACTAATCATAGAAAATTCACACATGTATGATGTGTTTCAGTAATTTCGGGAGTTTGACATTCTGTTCATTGTCAATTAGCCTATTCTTTTTAGCAGACACTCCTTTCCTTGGCAAGCATTAGCTGGGTTACTCTATATTATTTGGGTAATTTGATTTTGGCTGAAAATGGATGCTAGAATTTTGAAAAAAAAACAGAGGTATTAAGCCGACATGCTTTGGATAAAAGTTCCCTTTTTGGCATTATTTCTAGGTGTTAGTCATCAAAGAGGGACAGATTTTGACCTGGCAGTCGCTCATGTTGTGCAGTGTCTGCTATTGGCTTCAAAACAAGATTTAAATTTAACTTCAAGGGTTATCTACTTATCTGGGGTGTCTTAGAAGACTGTCTGGGTAACATCATTTTTGTTCTCTCTAGGCTGGATGACAATGGATTCCCATCATTAATAAAGAAAATTTTGAAGTTTTAGAAGGTTTAAGGGACGTATTTGGTTTGGAGCCTTCATATGTATTTTTTTTTTATAAGTAAAAATGTATTAGAAAGCATTCAAAAGGGGAACGCGTCCCAAGAGTTGTACAAATCCCAAAAAAGAGAAAGGGGAAGGCCTATGGACCCAAAGAACCCAAAAAGTCCACGATTTCTTCTAAAGATGTACAATTTCTCCCCCCAACCCCAACTAAAAAGAGAACAAATAATAGAAAACTTCAACGCCCCAATGGAAGATTCCTCTCCATCAAAAGATCTTCTATTCCGCTCTTTCCAAAGGCTCCACCAAACACAAAGGGGGGTCACCCTCCAAAAATCGTGAACGTGCGCCCCCATCCTTTTGGCCCCTCCAAATGTCAATCAATTCCTTTGAGGTCCAGGGCATGACCCACTGGACACCAAAAAGTCCCAAAATAAGATTCCAACAGTCATGGGCCACAGGATAATGCAAAAGAAGGTGATCCACGGACTCTCCATCATACTTACACATACAACACCGATTGACAATGATTTGTCTTCTCTTCCTCAAATTGTCCAGAGTCAAAATCCTACCCCAAGCTGCGGTCCAAACAAAAAAGGCCACCTTAAGAGCTGCCTTCAAAAGCCAAGCCGTTTTCCATGGGAAAGTGGTACCGTGAAACCCAAAGAGGCAGAAAAAGAAGGACCGGACCTGAAAAGTCCCCTGCGCAGAAGGCACCCAAGTCAAGGAGCCTTCCTATGTATTAGTTGAAGCTTAATAGTAACCAGTTAGGGTCAGATCATCCAGTTTGCTTTTTGGCACCACATGCATTTGAGTAAAGACTTGTCTGCTAAGTTGGATCTCAAGATTGGAAAATGAGGAGGTAGATAGATTCACAAAGAAAGGCAATAATTACAAAAATTTAATGGGCACTCTAACCCTCTTGAGTTCATTCTTATGGGATGAACGGGCTGCTTTATTTAGGGTTTTCTTTTCATTCTCCTTGTCAATTCTATTTTTTGGAGGATTTCTCATTCTTCTTTATTCTCATCAATTTTCCATTAATAATTTTTTTCAGTTTCTCTTTTTCTTGACAAATAATTTCTTATAAAAAATATAACATTATATAGGCAACATAAACTAAACTAGGGAAAAAAAAAAAAAAAAACTAAATTACAGCAACATGAAAATGTCATCACCTAGTGTTGTGCCCACTTTGACATGGTGCTGGAAGGAGAAGGCTAGACAAACCTAACCTCTAACATTATGGTGCGCAAAATACATCCACATCTATTGTAAAATTAATACCAATGGAATATGGAAATAAGGTGGAATGATTGGAAAGCAACATGAAAATGTCATTACCTAGTGTTGTGCCCACTTTGACAAGGTGCTGGAAGGAGAAGGCTAGACAAACCTAACCTCTAACATTATGGTGCGCAAAATACATCCACATCTATTGTAAAATTAATACCAATGGAATATGGAAATAAGGTGGAATGATTGGAAAAGAGTGTCCCTGATATTCTTACTTATTTATTTTTTTTATTTTGATAAATTATTCTTCAATTTAAACCAATACTGCAATACCTATATTCAACAACAATATGTATTGGTATAGTCAGGTGGTGCTACAACTTACAAGGCCAACTTCCTTATAGAAAAGAGGCTGTTCTTGAATAATAGTGTCAAGTGCCAACTAATTTTATATGACACTGGCCATGGCCATGTATAGGTGTTGTATTTCCAATGTAATGACAATTCTTTAAAGTTTCAGATTCAACTCATCAAAATCTGACAATGTATTGGCAGAATATCATCCAATACGATACCGGCTATTAAAAAGGGGAAATAGTAACTATTTATCATTTTCCCTCTCTCCCAGTCCTTCTGACCCTCTAAAGCCAATTCTTCTTTTCCTAACAAACTCTGTTGCAAATTGATAGAGCACTCTAATTTGAGAGCTAAGCAATACAGATAATGCAATTCCAAGGTTCTTCTTCTCGGCCTTAACAAAAGGTATGTAGTTTCAAGAACATGATCAAGGTCATAGTCTAACCTTATGGTTCTTTCAATTACAGATCATGGTTTCCAACTACTATGCTCAATCTGTAATTTTCTCTTACTTTTTAATATAAAGCGTGCATAATTTCAACAACCGCGATGTAATTGAAAAACATGCCATTTATGTTCATCCATTCATTAACCCTATCTAACCCAGACTAAGAAAAGCAATCAACAAACAGAGCATCGAAAAACTTCAATGTAAATGCAAAAGAACAATTAAAGAAAAAGGGTATTCATCTTTTCTCCCAATTATTAGTATAATACAGGTTAATCATCGTTCAAACATTTATGTGCATGTAAGTATATATAGAGAGAGAAAGTGTATGATAGTGGAATACTCGATCGCCGATGGTGCATTGGTTGTTCTCGTCGTGGGCCATGAACTTGGAGGTGCGTTTGACGTAGCGATTGTAGAGCTTGTGATGGAAGAGCCTGTCCACAGCCACCACCACCGACTTCTGCATCTTGTTCGACACCACCATCCCCACCACCGACTTCATTTTTCCACTTTTCCCCTGCTACTTCCTACAACCACCTGACTGAACAAAAAATATCGAAACCCTAGTCGGAGGAGTGCTCCGCGCAAACGGCGTCGTTGCTTTATATTCCGTTAAATTTTTTTTTTGGGGAAGATATACGATAAATCGGTATACGGCGTCGTATCTATGGATTGTGTGTTTTTTCCCTTCTCCTTTCAATTTTCTTTTCTTTTGAATATTTATTTATGATACTCCGTATACTGTTTTTTTTTTTTTTTTTTTCCCTTCCGTATACTGTATTAGATTAGATTACCAACAATATTTTTTTATTAACAAAAAAAAACAATATTTATTTATTTATTATTATTATTATTATCCTTTATCTTGCTAGCTGTATGGTAATGTCACAAGTCACGCTTCAAATTAAAACAGTGTTACTATATATATGTGCAATAAATATTAAATGATATAATTGTATAATTTTTCCAAAACTTTTATCTCTAGGTTGTATATACTAGGACTGAAAGAAAAGAGAAATCTTAATCCTAACACAACCCTTACTACATTCAATTGTACAAAGCTAATGCTCACTTTTATTTTTCAGCCACTCGTGTGGACTGAATTATCGCACATCTACACCAAGTCACCGAGGCAAGGATTGTACATGCTTCCGCCCGAATCAACACATTGCCCCTAGGGTTTCGCACTGAATTACGGGAATACCATGGAAATCCAAGTAAATCAGATAGAAACCCTAAATCACCCAAAAGGCCAATATGGTAATAAAGAAAATAGGTTTATCTAAACTTTGATTGAAACCGTTATCCACTCCCGCTAAAAAGAAACAACCCACAGCTTTGCTCCAAAGACACTTCTTCTGCTCTCTCTCTCTCTCTCTCTCTCTCTCTCTCTCTCTCTCTCTGCCCCTTCTCTCTATATGTCCCTATAGTTCTTTATCTGTGGTTTAATCAATTGGCTTGGGGTTTTATTGTTTGTGGATTTTTAATTTTGGTGATTTTTCAGGAGGAACGACTTGATATTTGGGGGTAATAATGTTTGAATTCTGTTTGGATAGAATATCACATTTGTGGGCAATTAGATTCCAATGGTTTCTGTTGTGTGTGGTATGAATTTACATGAGCAGAATTTGGACTGCCCAACTAATTTATGAGGTTGAAAAATGTTGGGCTCTGTATATGTTCTTGATGAGCACTTCATTAGTCTTACGTGAAAACTTAGTCTTTTTGAATCGAAGCATTTGTCACAAGTCGCGTAAATTTTCTAGTATTGTTGTTCAATTGAGTGGGGGGAGGAGGTTTTGTGGTTTGATTCCAAATGCAAAGAAAAGGCATTCAAGAAAGAGAAGTTGGTGGCAGAAATTCTTTTTCGACGAAGATGGCAATTGGCTCGGTTTGAAGGATGAGGATATGTTTGAGGAGGAGGAATCAGAGAGCTTGAGTGAAGAGGAGTTGTCCGAGGGTGAAAAGTTCGAAGCATGGAAGAGGAGAGCAGAGGCAATCATTGAATTGAGAGAAGCTCAGGAAGATATGAGGAATGAGGAGAAAAGGGGGTGGGAAGACTGGCTTGTGGATGAAACCAAAGATGTCATTAGTTCATCATTGGGTCAAGATTGGAACGAAAAAGTCGGGATATCAAGAGAAGATGTGAAGGCAGATCCTAGTGAGACGATGCCCGAGGAGGGTTTGGTCAAGTCTGTGAGGGATTTGGTCTTTGGGAGGGAAGACGATGACTTGCTATATGAAGACCGTGTTTTTCGATATGCTTCCTTGAATTCAGTGAGTCCATTCACAGTGACTTAAATTCAGCAAGCCATTTTATGAGCTAAGCATCCTTGATTTAGTATTCTACACCATCTTTTTTAGCTTGCCACTGGGATGTTGCTTTTCATGTTGATGAAATACTTAATTTTGGTTTAAGTCAGAGCCTAAATTATTGAAATAAAACGTTTCTTTATGAGATCAGATGAACAAGATTGTAGGGTTTAAACTTCTTAAAAACAAATGACTACTAAGTTTTCGTTAAGTTGAAGATCATTACATTATGAAGCACTGCAGGACATGTCTTAATGTTTATTGTATGAATACTCTGCCAATTGGTCCATTATCCTCTTCTTTAGTATATTGGTAATCTGTTTCGTATTTGCATGTTTTTGTTGAAATATGTGATTAGTTATCCTGAACCGCAATCATCGTTCTTGCTGCAGGCTAAATTTTTGGCAGTATTGGTAGTGATACCATGGGCATTGGATTTTTTGGTTCATGACTATGTTCTCATGCCTTTTTTGGACAGGTAATGATTGAGGCACACTGGTTTTAGCTTGATTGAGTTCTCTTGTTTTTTGTTGAGAGAGAGAGAGAGGTACAGTTATTTAGCCTTACCCTCTTTGTGTCGATGCTTGATTTTGCTGGGACAGAACTTTTCTTAATGAAATTCCTTTTTTATGAGAGATACATAATTAAAAGTTTAAAACCATTACCTATGAAAAGTAAATAAATAGAAAAAGGAAGAAAAAAATATATATATATATCTCAAACATGCTGAACTACAGATGACAGAGTGAATACTGGATTTAGGGCAAAATGCAACTCAAAGAAGATCAGGGTTCCATTGTCCACTTCCAATTTGAGTAGAAAATTAGAAACAGGATTGGTTTCCGAAGGTGTTTATAAATTTTTAAAGCTTCTATAAACCCTGTGAATAGGCAGGCATGCTTAGATCCACACAAACAAGTATTGATTGAAGCAGTGCAGACCAACATATGTAAAGCATTTTTTATATATAACCTGCACTTGAGGATTTTGCTTTGTCTGTAAATGGTAACGAGTCATAAACTTTGTGTCTTCAACAATGATACAACTGACCTCTCTGTCTTGAACAGGTATGTGAAGACTGTACCACTAGCCGCAGAGATCCTTGATGTGAGAAGACATCAAAAGCTTGAAATGGTTAAGGAATTAAAAATTGAAAAAGCAAAATTTCGGTTTGAGGTAGAGATTGGTAAATCTCCACCTCTTTCTGATGAGGAGGTTTGGTTGGAGTTACGGCATAAAGCGTACGATTAAAGATTTCTACATTCTTTTTTTGGGAATTGTTTATTTTGTTTCATCATTATTTTTTTCTTGATATGATCACTGTTGAAATGGTGACTGGGAGAAGGAATCTACAAATGCAAATGAAGAATTGAAACATATGAAGATGGTTTCAGTTTTACCAATCTTGCTTAAGAGTAATTTCTAGATTTGGTGACAACATGGCCGATGAAAGTGAAGAAATGTTTTCTTGTTCTCCCCTCTTCTTTTATTTCCTCCCTGCAAGGGCAAGACAGGAAAACCTTAGTAGATCCATCAAGTGTCTACCATACTTAATTGCTTCCTGCTTTGAAATTTAAGAACTTTAAAACTTATAGTGGTACTGAATCAATAATTTATCATACAATCTCATTTTTAGATGTTTAAAGTTAGATATTTTTCGTATTATCTTCTTATTATCTCAGTGTTGACATAATTACCAGTTGAGGTGGATTATAATGCTTTGGTCTTCTTAATATTAATAGAAATACCAATATAGGTGGATCAGGAAGCTTCATGTCAACAAATTTATGATCTTTTGTTCTTGAAATATCATTCTGACATAATTTATTCTTCAAGAATTGCATATTTCATTGTATTTGTAGTTCAACATTGATATGTTCCATATGCCATGAAAGTAATTAAACTATGGCCATTGCATTATTAAATTACAAAATTTCCCCCATTAGGGATGCTAACACTGGTTATGTTGGCTACACACTTTCTCTTAAAAGTTTTTTTGTGCCTTGCTCACACATACCTAAATTTCCAATTATGTTAATTCACTGAATTCTAATTTATCAACCTCCTGCTTGTTGCTCTATCAGGTTAGAGTTGCGTGATGAATGGAGGTTAGAGAACCGTAGAGCATTTGCCAATATATTGTCAGATATGGTGTTTGGGATCTCATTATTCATTCTTTTATACTTCAACCAGAGTAAAGTGAGTTCTCATTTGCTTTTTTTGCGTCACTTCCTTTCTTTCTATTAAATTATAAAAGAGTATTTTCCAATCAATATGGTAGCATTATTACCTTTGAATGTGATGATGTTATTTCACATTTATGTGCCATCATCCTCATCATCAACAACAATAATCAACAAATTGATTAATTTAAAGTTAGTAGTGGAAACATTTGCAGGTGCAGTAACTATGGTTATCAGATTACTAACTTTTGAATTTTCTTGGTATTTTCTGGTTGATATTTATGTCCCTGCGTCTTAATGGAACACTTTCCATGAGAACATGTAGAAGACACTCCGATATTTTTTTCCTTCAGCCATTAGAGACACGATTTAGCCCTTTGTCTGCCCAATCTAATGATCTACTGTGATTATGTTTCAAAATTTGTGATTGTTGTTAGAAACAACACCATCATTTAGTTGTCAAGGACTATACCATTTTCTAGTCTAGAGATTATGATTTGTGAAACCTATAAATGGAATTAAAATAATGTACATGGAGATTGATGAATATATTGATCTGATTTGGATCAATTAAATCTGTGTATGGAAAATTACAGTGAAAATGCAATTTTGTGATGCCTGTTTGAAGAGGAGAGCTTTGATCATTTTGTGGTGTGCACAAAATTTGACAGTTCCTCGAATATGATTTTCTAGACTACTATCGCAGCTCACAAGACATCAGAACTTAACCAACAATTTTTTTGGCCAATACAGCAAGCTATCTGATGGATGATCAATAACATTCATGTATTGATCCCTTCATAATAAAATACAAGAGGGGATGGCACCTGTGATTTGTGTATATATAGGTTTTATATATTATTCCCTTTTAAGAGTTAGCGGTAGTAATTGTAGGTAGGATATTGTTAATTGTGAGAAAAACTCCCTTCCACCATTTGTGTTAACTACCGCTCTATGAATGGTTTAATGTCAAATCATTTTCGTTCAGGGTTATTCAAACCAATGGGACTAATATACGGGGTTTATTGAACGTATATTCTTATGTTTATGAGTCTGTAACTCCACATCCTCAACTCTACACACCTGGTTTATGAATTTGGAGGCAGGCTTCTTGTATTCTCTTCTTCTCCATATATGAAATCTTTTGATCATCTTTGCCCGTGGATGTAGACTTCCAAACCACTTAAATAATTGTGTTTACTTTGTATGTTTTTTCCCGCACCTAACATCATATTAGATGCTATAAGCTCAAGCTATAGTGCTTTAAGTATGCCTTTAGCCTTTAGTCCTACATTCAACTATTTTATTAGACTAAAAGTGACAGAGATGTTTTGTTTTGTAAATGAGCAATGTAGCCATTAAATCTTTATGTAACATACAAGTGAATATTTCCTTCTTATAGCTGCTGCACATATATGCATCTATCTTTTTGCTTTCTGCTTGGGCATATGTTTAAGAGTTAGCTATAATTACCCATTCTCCATCCAAATAGCTGCCTGACCATTTATTTATTTTCCCCTCCCTTTTGCAGGTAGCTTTGCTGAAATTTACAGGGTATAAGATAATAAATAATATTTCAGACACCGGGAAGGCTTTTCTGATTGTACTTATTACAGATATTTTTTTGGGGTAATTTTTTCTGCTCTTTCCTGAGAGTATCAGCAAGTTCTCCCTCATCAAATAAAATTTATGTTGCAAAGCTATGTTCATGCAATTAAGTAAATTCTTTCATACAAGTAATCTGTATGAAAACTTGAAAATTAATTGATGTTTACTAGAACTGTAATGGTGATACGATCATATGAGGTGAATTTTTTACCCTTTTTCTTGAAATATAATTTTAAAGTTCTCTATTGGAAGTGCCTTTCTTTGTTGTCCTGTATTTTTAGAACTTGGTAAAATGTTGTATAAAATCAAAATTTTCAATATAACTAATAGGATAGTCTTTTTCTCTATACAGTTTTTTTTAAAGGTAACCCTCTTTCTCTAAGATGCTAACAAACTTTCGCAGGGTTATCTCTCTTTTTTCCCTAAATTTTATTTGGTTCTACTTGTGACGGTATATCTGAGTTTTGTGCTTCCGAACTTCACATTACTTATGAAATTGCAAACTTACAGGTACCATTCTGAATCTGGTTGGCAGACTTTGCTAGATATATTCGTTGAGCATTATGGCCTTGAGGTTGATCCATCTGTTGTAACCATATTTATCTGCCTAATTCCAGTCATCATTGATGCATGTGTGAAGCTTTGGGTATGTTCTACATCTGGAATACTTTTACATAAAAAAATTTGTTCTCCTGTCCTACTGGTCACCATGAAGCAAGAATGTATATTTGGCAATGAGTGTTGTTTGGTTTTTGTTAGTAGTTTACTATTTTCCCTATTTATGCATACTGGAATTTGCTACAGAGGGATACAGTTGTTCTTTTTTTTTTTTTTTCACTGGATACAGTTGTTACTTCGCCAGGAAACCCCAATATTTTATATATATTAAAAAAAGGGTGAAAGGAAACAGGACAGATTTCTAGTTTGATAAAGATCCCCTAATGTTCTTTCCATTTTTTTTTTTTTTTTTTTTTTCTTCTTCTCATGATATACAATGGATAAGGTAGTACCCAAGTCAACTTATTGAACATGATATATCGCATAGGTGATTCACATATCATAGCATGTATACGAAGGAAAACCTAGTTCAGCTCTGTTGGCGTGTTCTAATATTTAGGGATTAGAGGGTCTGACACATAAAAAACAGGTCTTTTGAGTGTTCCACCATATAAATCTAATGGGATCAATACTTTTTCTGTTGTCAAAGTATACTGCTTGACCTAAATCTGTCAAACATTTGTGCCTTCTGAATATACTGGATGACATCAGTATTCAGAGTCACCATTAACCTGGACCTAGATACAGTTCTTTCCTTCACTATTTGGATTTTGGCCATGGTCTTTTTGCGCTTATAGAAGAATATGGGAACTCCATAAGTAAGCAACAAATGAGAGAGCAATTATGGAACTAAGAAACTCTAATATCATTTTATTGTGAAACACTGGAATTTTCTTTGTATGAGAAAATTCTTTGCTGTCTATCTTCCACCTTGACAATTGATACAACAAGAGAAGAAAAAAATTATGGGAAGGGCATAATACTCTTTATCTGGCTTGGGATGCCAGTTTGCCTTTGGTATGTTTAATCACTTGTGACTTTGGTAGGGCTATCCTTATGAAGTCGTCGTGAACTATGAATGCTGATGCAGGGTGCTCACTGTGAACAAGTGAATGCAGTTAGTTATGGGAAGGACGAACACTACACTGGGTTAAAAAATCCGTTGTTTCCTTTATTTTATTTTTTTAGTTCTCACCATCTATTTTCCCATTATAACAGTTGTCTGTCATTCCCTACCAATCTCCTGTCATAATAATCTGGTTCATAGAGGCATTTTCCGTTCTATTTGAATGTGTTCTTGTGGACGTGCATGTAAATGCATTGCTAAACATCAATATGATTAGCTGAGCTGGCCTGTTGCATAATTCTGTATGCTCGCTGCTATTTTCTAGATTTTCTTGTTTAAAGATCACATGAACAAGAGTCAAAATATGATTTTCTTGAAGTTTTGCATGAGTGCATCTATAACTCCTGACCTCTCTACGCTCCTTTTTCCTATTCTGCATCTAAATCATTTCCCGATATCATTTGCTCTAGTATGTCCAATTGGTACAACAAAAAATTCTTTGCTCTAGTATGTTGGTTGATGGTTTATGATGGAACAGTTTCCCAAAATTAAACGTTACATAAATTCTTTTGAATTTGTAAAATTTTCTTCAGTCACTTTAATATCATTTGCTCTATTGCGAAAAAGCAACTTTCTTCTATAATTTTTCATTCAATACTTATGCATAGTTTTTATGTTTGTCATTCAGTTGTTTAAATTCCTCCCAAGATTATCCCCAAAGGTGGCAAATATTTTTCGAGAAATGAAGCGGCACTAGACAGATTGATTTATTTATTTATTTTTGTCTGAATTCTTTCACCTTACAAGGAAGTACCAAAGAAGGTAAATTGAATCATCTTTGCTACTTTTTCTCCAGCTCAACCATGTTTACTTCATCTTCTTGTAAGAGGCTTGTCTTGAATTGCAATATGCAGCTTATAAGTATTCTATGTATGTAAATAGCTTGTCATTGCTCAAATACCTTTTGTCACATAAATTCCTTGTAATACTATGAGTTAGGATGAAAATCACAATTATGAATTTTATATTCATGGTCAAATGTCACTTTGATTACAAATTTTCTAATTCTATTGTAATAATTTTTGGATTTTTTTTTTTTTTTCCATCTAATATTCTTCAGAATTTCGAATAAAAAACATGTATTGTATATGGAGGTTACTAGAGATCATCAGTTTAAACTCTTCCATTAGATGGCACTTGCTATATAAATCAAGCTCCATATCGTTGTGAATATTTTGGTTTCTTGTCAGAAGACATTGATGCTAAGATTATTTGATTATACTTTTCCTTTCTTAATGATTTCATATGTCAAGATCACTTTTAATGTTTGTAGGAATTACTTTGATGGTGTTCTTTTCTTTTTTATTTAAATCATTTATATATATAAATATATATTCAAAATTTTAAACAAAAACGCGGGTACACAGTTACAATTTACAACCCACCACAATCTCTGCTTTTCACTTTGTCACGAGAAAATATATCATTAACCACAAGTGTTGATAAATAGATAAGAAATACTCAAATTTATTTCAATGTGTTGTCATTTGATAAGAAATCTAGGATTATTTATTTATTTATTTAAGATACCTGGGATTAGTACAGTGGATAGATGTTTATTTCGGTTACATACATAAAATTAGTTTATTTTTATGCATTAACAAGAGTTAGAAGGTGACAAGACTGTCAATACAGTCTGGGTTTAATACATCGGCAACAAAAAATTAATATAGTAGTTTAACCAAAGGACTAAAAGCGTACTTCAAATTAATATACCACCAGAAATATATGAGTTGTAAATGTATATATAATTCTGAAAATAGTTCTTAAGAATCTAGAGAACAGTTTTTAGAAAACAATAAAAGACAATTTTCTAAAAATAGACTTTTTTATAAATGAATTTTTAGAAAATTAAATCAAACAGAATTTTTTATACAATTTTCTGTTTTCAGTTTTTTAAAAAAGAAAACTGTTATTAGAGTTACAAACCAAACAGGCCTGTAAATTTTGTTTTTTTCAAATTATCAATAACATCTGCAGAATGGAACCACAAAAAGAAGAAGAAAAAAATGATTCATTATACAAATACAAGAATCTAACTCAAATAAACACTTGCCCAAAAAAAAAAAAAAAAAATTCAAATAAACCTCATCCTTGATGCATTTGTGTGTTTGCTTGCACAAATATCATTTTACTTTGGAATATAATATTAGGTCTACAATTGTTTCACCTATTATCAAATGGTGTAATTTTATGGTATTTTTTTACCTTTCAAAATAGAAATTTAGGCGGTCAAGTCACGGTAAGGACAAAGTAGATGTGAGAGAGTTTCTATTAAATTTAACTATTCTAACAATTATATTATATACACTTCAAATTCGATGTGATGTGAGAGAGTGTCTATTAAATTTAACTAATCTAACAATTATATTATATACACTATTCAAATTCAGATATGCAAGCTCCACCACACGATGTTATGATAATATGAATTGACATAAGTCCTAATTTTTCACCACACGATGTTCTGAGAATATGAATTGACACATGTCCTAATTTTATTGCTCAATGAACCTCATTGCTTCCTAATCTAAGGCTCAATTTGGTTAGAGGTATTGAAAGAAAAAGAAAAGAAAAGTAATGGAGAGAAATTAAATATTGTGTACGGTATGAATTTTTTAAAGAAAAGAAAGGAAGCAAATGAGGGATTCAAAAGGAAATAGGATGTGTTAGTTTTGTTAATCAATTATATAAGATGTGTTGGTTTTGTTAGTCTTCCAAAAATGAGAGAAAATGAAAGGAGAAGAAATGAAAGATTAGATTTTTTAATGAAAATTTATTAACACCAAATTAGCTCTTCTTTTAATAAAAGGCAAAATCTATGAATAAGGATATAGTAGTAAATTCATTATAATACTTTATTTTTCTTTCCTCCCACCCACCCACCCACCCACCCACCACATGATTACTATTATTTTATTTTATTTTTTACTATTATTTTTCACTTTATTAATCAACAAAACAACAAATGATTAACTATATCCTCATTTCCTTTATTTCTTTTCCCTCGTAACTATTCTTATCATTTGGGTTAATTACATTCACACTTCCTGATTTTATTGATAGTCTTATGAAACAATAACACCCTTCAAATTTGTTTCATTTGACAAAGACACCCCCAAACACTCTGACACATGATAAAATGACTAGAATGCTCTTTGACATTCAATTGACTCATTGAAATGTTAAAAGTACCGACTTAACCTTCTAATTAATTTTAGGGTAATTTACACAGACCTCCCTTATGATTTGCCATAATTACAAGTGGCATCCTTCCTGTTCCGGAAATTACTCGGACCTCCCATACTTTTTAAAATATCCTACACGGACCTCCATTTCGTTACGGTCAACGCCAGTCAACGACGAAAAATGATGACGTCAGCTACTATTTTTTTTTAAAATGCCGCAAATACCCTTGGGTATATTATATATATAAGACCCATTTTGTAACCGTTGTGCTACAGAACGGGTCTCTTAGGGCTGAAGAGAAGAAGAAGACGAAGTTGCTGTCGTTGTGAGAAGTTGCTGCTCTACAAAGGTTGTGTTGTGCAAATCAAGTGTTGTGGTAGCTTTGGAGAGGAAGAAAAAGAAGAAGATTGTTCTGGAATTTGAAGAAAAACGATAAAGAAGAAGATTGTTCTTCTGTCTGCAACTTAGGGCTCCATTTGGGTAAGTTATGTTTATCTAGAAATTAAAGGCTGAATTCTTAGCTTCGATTTGTTATCTTCAAAACAAATATCTGGATTTTCAATTTGGTTATTCAAAAATCTGAAAATTTAATTTTTGTGGGTTGCGATTTGTTTTTCAAAAATTTGGAGAATCGCGAAGGTCTTGTAGGTTACGAGTTGTTCTTCAAATATCTGGATTTTCGTTTCTTTTTGGAAACATGTCTACTAGTTCAAAGGGAAAAGCTTCAAGCTTGGGTGATTTAAGGTACAGGGATCTGTATTGCAAATGTAAATCAAAAACAAAATGTGTAATTAAGGTAACAGGTTCTAATGATTATAACAATAAAGGGAAGTTGTATTATGTCTGTCCAACTAGAAGTTGTGGTGTTTGGGAATTGTGCAATCCAATAACTTGCATTACAGAGGATGTGATGGACTCTGCTACAATATGTAACGAAGAAGATGTATTTCCTGAGATTATGACAAATGTTGCTGAGATAAGTTCTGAGATTTGTAAGCTAAGGTCTAAAATTTGTGAGATAAGGTCTGAAATTGGTGTACTAAGGTCTGAGATTGATGAGACAATGTGTGAAATTGGTAAGATAAGGTCTCAATTTGTAATGTTTAAAACACCCCTTGGATTCATGAAGCTGCTTATCAATGCAAGTTTATTTCTTGCATTTTTTTCAGTTGTATTCATTTTTTTGTCAGTTGTATATTGAATGTGCTATGCTTTCAGTAATTATGTTTTGTAATGAATGATGTTTAGTTCTTAATGAAGTTCTTAATGAATGATGGAGTTCTTTTGTAATAAATGAAGCTGCTATATGTTTTGCATTGACAAACTCTGCATTGACAAACTGCATTGACAAAAAATTCAGACCTATATGACAAACAACCCATAAATATGAACAATTTATACAAACAACCAATTGTCCACAAAACATACCATATAAACAACTGAGTTACCCATAAACATATCATATCATTTACCAATAAAATTCAGAGTTGTCCAAAAGCTATACCAAAAGTCAGTTGTCTAAAAGCTATACCAAAAGCTATACCATATATATGTCTATTCTTTTTACACAACTGAGTTACCCACAAAGTAGTTAAACAACAAAAGTTTCATAAATTGTCCACAAAAAAAAATATAGTTAACTATATTATGGCTGCATCTTCAACTGCCTTCTTCTCCATCTTCAAGTGTCCCTTCCAGATTGGTTGCTTCTTCCAGTACCTCTTCGAATTGCAAATTTGACTGTATTGGGTTTTCTTGGTTGATTTGATATTGCAGAGCCTTGTCCAGGTTGGTTGGTGCTTGCAATGCCTTTTCCTGCTTGATTTGACCTTGAGCTTGCATACCCTCTTCCAGCTTGGTTGGTGATTTTTGATTGATTTGAGGTTGTACGCCCTCTTCCAACTTGGTTGGTGCTTGCAGTGGCTTTTCTACCTACATTCCTCATTGAGCTTTGACACCCAAATTGAGTAGCTGATGTAGGCCTCATCATCTGTGATTATAATTAAAATAAACTTAGTCTATTTAAGAAAAATAGAAAAAAAGTTAAACTTCTTTTTTTTTAAAAAAAAAGTTATACCTCTTCTGTTAAACTGGTAAAACTTGAACTTCCACTTCCAACTTGACTGCTTCTTGGTGTACTTGTATGTCCCTGCAAGTTCTTATATAGTGTCAAATAATGTCACAAGTTAAAGGGCATTAACTCTTCAGTTAATATTAAAAAATTTATAAGTGATTTACCTGGTTGGGTTGACCTACTTTGCATGTTCTCTTGTTGTGCCCAAATTCTTCACACTGTGAGCATTGTAGGGATTTGCTCTTTTTAGCATCACTAGTTACAGCTGCAGGCTCATCTGCATCTCTAGTCCTGGCTTTTTTTGGTCTGCCAGGCTTTTTCCTTAGAACTGGAGGTTCCACAGGGTTACAATGCAAAGGAGTCCACATTCTTTGATCAGGTACTGGGTGAATCATATCAGAATGAGTTCTTATGTATGTTTCATTATAGAAACATGGATCACAGTACTGTTCAATATCTGTTCTTTTGTGTGTTATGGCTGCAGTTGCATGTTTGCATGGAAGGCCAGAAATCTGTCATCCTGCAATCATATGACCTTGATCTAAGCTTCACTATATGCTTTCCTTCCTCATTTATGACTTTATACTCATCTTGCCCTGCTAGGGTAACATTACATGATCTAGACTCATCAATCAATTTATTCAATTTTTTCTTAATGTTTGGGGTCACCAATCCTACCTAAGTACTGGCATTTTCAGCCCTCATTAGGAGTCTTCTCATCAATTTGCTCCTAATACCATCAAGCAACCCTAAAATATGTTTAGACCTAAGCTTCC